ATTTTACACAGGAGAGGTTTGAGGTATGGGTTATTTCCAGATTGGAAACAAGAGGTCCTACTAAAACGGAAGTGGTGTTTATTTCTGTGCTGAAGTTGTTCCATTGTTCAGGTGCAGGGATTGAAATGTATGACCTCAAGTGCAGGGGGAGGCACATTCAACAGTTAGTAAGGTTTTGGGCCGAGGCCTCATGGAGCCCAGTGAGGATGGTATTAAATAGGCTTACCAGGCAAGTATGGGTATTGAGGGTTTCATGTAGTTTTGAGAGATCTAGTCCTTTGTAGGGGGTAGGGGTGCTATGTACCCGGGTCAGCTGGGAGATTACTTCCTTTACATGTTTTTCTCTTGCCTGATCTTGAACTCCACCTCCATCAGACATACCGGTATGGGTGAAGTAAGTCCAACAGACAGTGGCTCTGAGTCCTCCGGGACAACTAGGATTAATTGTTTTCCCTGTCCAATAATGAGTATTTGCATGCATGCAAAGAGTGGCAGAGTTACAGCAGTTGCGGGGCATATGGGTGTGGGCGGTGAAGGTGGGGTTTCTCTTAGGTAAACTCCTATACGATGGGGCATCAATATTTCCAGAAAGCTGCATTCTTCATAGAAACTCTTGGTAAGGGGAGCTACTGGTCATACAGTGGCATGGAGAGGGTGCAGTGAGAGTGAAAGGGGGTAAGATAACAGTAAAGAGAAAAATATGATAAGGGAGGGCCATGGGGATTTACGATTTTCGTTACTTCCCTCACGGTTGTTGCTTGAAGACCAGGCACAGATTCTCTAGAGGTTCACAGGAATAACTAGCGTTGTCTGCTGGATTTTTGGGTTCTTTTGGCAGTATCCAGGGTTTGACTCTAGTGTGATGTATCCAAGACTCCACTTTAGCCACTTTAACCACGATTGGGGTAGATGAAATGACTAGGTATGGTCCTTCCCAGGATGTGTCTAGGGATGGGGAATTAGAGGGAAGGGACTTGACTAATACCATGCCACCAGGGTGGAATTCCTTTCCCTCTTCTCGGGGACAGGCTCCTTGTAATGTTTTAAGAACTTGTTGATATTTGGCTAAGGAGGTGATGTCTGCAACTAAGTTGACCGTCTCTCAGTCGAGCACAAGTTCATTGGTTAGGAAAGGCCGTCCATACAGCATTTCGTATGGGCTAAGTCCTGCTTTTTGGGGACAGTTTTGGATTCTTAGCAAGGCTATAGGCAGCAGAGCAGGCCATGCGAGGTGGGTTTCCTGGGTTAGCTTTTTTAGATGTCCTTTGAGTGTTTCGTTCATTTTCTCGACCTTCCCTGAGGATTGTGGCCTCCAGGCGCAGTGTAAGTGATATTGTATACCTAACACCTGGGATACTCCCTGGTTTACTGTAGCCTTGAAAGCGGGGCCATTGTTACTCTGTAAGCCTCAGGGAGGTTGGAATCTGGGAATTATTTCATGAACTAGTGCCGTTATTACCTCTTGGGTCTTTTCTGTCCTACAGCCGAAGGCCTCTGCCCAACCAGTGAAAGTATCTACCCAGACTAGTAGATACTGAAATCCCTGAGATTTGGGCATGTGGGTAAAATCTAGTTGCCAGTCTTCTCCTGCATAATGGCCTGTTCTTTGTTCTCCTGAAGGAGCTTGGCGATAAGGCAGGGGATTATTTCTTTGGCACACTTCACAGACCCTGACTATCTGCTTGATAGTTTTGAAAAGGCCTGGTCCAATAAATAATGATTTGGCCATCTGATGGGTGCTATCAATGCCTAAGTGAAAGGTTTGGTGAAGGGTTTTAAGTAATTTCCATTGGTTAGCTGCAGGCAAAAGTACTTTTCCTTCTTCGGTGGCTAGCCATCTTGAGGGGAAGAAACTATGTCCTCCTGAGGTTCCCCATTCTATTTCTTCTTCTGAGTACTGGGGCTTGGTTTCCCAGAGGGGATTACCCCATACCAGGGGTCCTTCTGTAAGCATTTCTAATGGAGGGTCCTGTTTTGCGGCTCTTTGTGCTTCAATATCCGCTTAACGGTTCCCTTCTATTTCCCTTCCCTTTCCTTTCTGATGACCCCAGCAGTGTAAGACTGCCACCTCTTTAGGTTTCTGTACCGCCAATAATAATCTCCTAATGGCTTCCTGATGTTTGATAGGTGTTCCCTCGGAAGTTAGGAATTCCCTTTCTCTCCATATTGCTGCGTGGGCATGGAGGACTAGGTAAGCATACTTAGAGTCTGTATATATGTTTACCCTTTTTCCTTCTCCTAATTCTAGTGCCCGAGTGAGGGCTATTAGTTCTGCCAGCTGAGCACTAGGCCCTGGAGTAAGGGGATTACTTTCAAGTATTCCATTATCACTGACCACTGCATACCCCGCTTTTGGAAGTCCTTTTTCTACAAAGGAACTTCCATCAGTATACAAGTTGAGGTCGGGATCAGTCAAGGGAACCTCTGGAAGCTCCCTTCAAGCGGCATACGTTTGAGCAATTACTTGTTGACAGTTGTGTTCTTTTCTTCATTGTCTGGAAGAAATGTGGCTGGGTTAAGAGTTGCACAAGTGCGCAGTTGCAGCACTGACCCTTCAAGTAATAGAGCCTGATATTGATATTGATACCTGATATTGTTGTCTGACAACCACAAGTCTCCTTTAGCAGTGAGAATGCCGTTCACATCATGAGATGTCCACACAGTAAGATCTCTTCCCTGTATTATTTTAACTGTTTCAGATACTAAGACTGCTAATGCTGCCACTACCCGTAAACAATGAGGCCAAACCTTTGCCACTACATCAATTTCCTTACTCAGGTGTGCCACAGGTTACAAGCTTGTCCCTTGGACCTGTGTAAGGACCCCTAGAGCTATTCATTTTTTCTGTGACATACAAAGAAAAGTCTTGCCCTGCTGGCAAGCTTAACATGAGCGGTTCTCTGTTTTCTGCAGAACAAAGTTCCTACTCCGTGTCATAACTTTTTTTTTTTTTTTTGTTAAAGATGGAGTCTCACTCTTGTTGCCCAGGCTGGAGTGCAGTGGCGCAATCTCAGCTGACTGCAACCTCTGCCTTTCAGGTTCAAGTGATTCTCCTGCCTCAGCCGCCTGAGTAGCTGGGGTTACAGGCATGCACCACCACACCCAGCAAATTTTTGTATTTTTAGTAGAGAAGGGGTTTCACCATATTGGCCAGACTGGTCTCGAACTCCTGACCTCAGGTGATCTGCCCACCTCAGCCCCACAAAGTACTGGGATTACAGGCACGAGCCACCACGTCTGGCCCCGTAGCATAACTTTTAAGACCCTTAATAATCTTGCATCAGCTTCATTTCGTTTTATATTACTTCTTACTGTTTTTCTCTTCATGCCCTACGCTCTCACACTTTTAATATTAGTTTTCTTAATTTGTATGCGAAGGACCTAGGTGCCCTTTCCTAATTGTAATGGTTCATATCATGTCTGCTGTCTCAATTAATGACTTGAGACAGTGGAGAGTGCTTGAAGTATTAGCAAACTAGATTCTATGATTTACTATTTACTCTCTCTGTATTTGAATTAGATGGAAGTATTATAACAAAGAAAAAATATGTAATGATATTTGTGTGTGAAGAAGCCTTTAAACATATTTTTCTATATATTTTAGAATTGAGACGTAATGAACAATATTTCTTTCAACATTTCTTTAAAAAAATAGTGTAAAAAATAAAAATATATTAAAAATGGTTAATGACAGCTTCTTTTATAAATGAAAAACTCCTTGGAGATAACATGTCCTTTATATTTTTTTCTGATGAGACTTGTCTAATCATTTGTTTCTTGATAGTTTATGTTTGTGTGATTTTATGTTTGTGTGAACTGTTGAGCAAATTATTCCATTTACTGAGATTTTTTTCTCTTTGTCACAGAACAGATTTTTGGGCTAACCGTGTTTCTGTTAGTTGATGTGTGCTGTATAAGTGTGTACTAATTTTGATTATTCCATACTAAAGAAGAAATACATGAAAAATGGTCATTTACATGGATTTCTTTCTTTAATCTTTGCCATTTTCACATAAAGCCAGGTTGCTGTTACCATTAGCAGTTAACAAAACAATCTATCTGCTGCTTAATTTTTAAAAATCAATTATTTCATTGAATTTACCACTGTTTAACTGCTTTTCTTTCGTAAAACCTAAAGTAATATATATTTCTCTTTTCTTTTTTGCCTTGATACATTCATCTAACATATATTTATGGAATACCTGGTGTGTGCCAAACACTATACTAGACTCTGGGAAAGAAAAATCATCAAAACTAGACATAGATCCTATTTCCATGGAACTTACAGTCTAGTAAGAGTGTAAATAAAGAATCAGAAACTAAGATAAAAGTTAACCTAGAAAAGTACAGGTTGCTATGACATTGACCTGTTCTATTTTCTGATGTCAGTGCATTTCCTTTTTGATTACCCTTTTGTTGCCTGATTATCATGCTGTGATAATTTACTTGTATGCCTCTCACACCTCACCCTGACATGTAAACTCCTTAAGGAAAGGAAGGGGCCGGGCATGGTAGTTCACGCCTGTAATACCAGCACTTTGGGAGGCTGAGGCAGGCGGATCATGAAGTCAGGAGTTCGAGACCAGCCTGACCAACATGGTGAAACCCTGTCTCTACTAACAATACAAAAATTAGCTGAGCATAGTGGTGCACACCTGTAATCCCAGCTACTCAGTAGATTGAGGCAGGAGAATCGCTTGAACCCAGGAGGCGGAGGTGGTGGTGAGCCAAGATCGCACCACTGCACTCCAGCCTGGGCGACAGAGCAAGACTCCATCTCAAAAAAAAAAGAAAGGTTTATTTTCTCTCTAGTGCTTAGTCCATTCTAGTATTGCAGTTACAAACATTTATAATGAAATAATGACTTAATGAACATGTATGAATAAATGGTAAATTCTTTGTATGAAATAAATTTTCAGTTTTAAAAGACCATGTTACAATATCCTAAGATACTACATAATAAGCAAATATTTTTAAGTATTTGTTTTGGGTTTTTTTAGGATTTACAGGGTCATCATCAAATCCACAGCAAATTTCCAGTTTTGACTTCATATCCACAAAGACTTTATCAGAAGACTCAGTAGTAGTTGTTGGAAAAGGTATTTCAAAATTATTTCACTTCTTAATTATATGTATTCACCATATAGAAGCAAAGCCTATCAATAAGGAATAGAAAAGAATTTGATTCAAGTGTTGAGCGGAACTTCTTTTTACAAATGTATTACACTATCTTCATTAAAAGAATTAGAAGTGAATACTTACCTTCACATTTCTATCTTCTAAGGAAACTAGTAAATTCATGTCATTAATTTTCAGAGGGATGTATTATGTGACTGCTGCAGTTTGGGTACTTCTAAGACAGTTTTAGGATAGCTTACTTAGTTTTAGCATAGTTTAAATTCAAATAGCCCTTATTTATCAGCTTAATAATCAATGTAATTATCTCCCATACAAAATCTAGACAAGTGAAAATTAAACTCCCATTATATATTTTAAGGGGGCTAAGGGACCTTGAACAAAATTATTGCAAGTATCCTTTAAAGCTATTTTCTATTTTAATTGAAAACTAGAATGTAGTGGTACACATTGAGAGTATGCATCTTATTTTTGTTCAATATGATGAAATAGAATAAAAGTCTTGAAAATTTTTTCCTAACTTCTTAGCTTGATAGTCTCATTAAGTTATTTTATTTATTTATTTTCTTTTTGAGACGGAGTCTCACTCTGTCGCCTGGGCTGGAGTGCAGTGGCCAGATCTCAGCTCACTGCAAGCTCCGCCTCCCAGGTTTACGCCATTCTCCTGCCTCAGCCTCCCAAGTAGCTGGGACTACAGGTGCCCGCCACCTCACCCGGCTAGCTTTTTGTATTTTTTAGTAGAGACGGGGTTTCACCATGTTAGCCAGGATGGTCTCGATCTCCTGACCTCGTGATCCGCCCGTCTTGGCCTCCCAAAGTGTTGGGATTACAGGCTTGAGCCACCGCGCCTGGCCTATTAAGTTATTTAAAAACCCTCCTCAGATTGGCTACAGCTTACTCTTGTAAACTTATTTTCTGTTATTGCTTTATTTGCCCAACCAAGCTCATTTATTCGCTCCACATAAATGCTTTATAAACGTTCAACTCTGCATGTAAACATCAGCATCTCATAGATTTCTCCCTCTCCTTTACTTTATACAGATCCTTCCTGTCTTCAAATCCCAGCTCAAATTCTTGCTCCTTGAAACCATCTTAAATACCCAACTGTCAGGCGCAGTGGCTCACTCCTGTAATCCCCATACTTTGGGAGGCCCAGGCGGGCAGATTACTTGAACTCAAGAGTTCAAGGCCAGCCTGGACAACATGGCAAAACCCCATCTCTACCAAAAAAAAAAAAAATTAGGCAGGCCTGGTACTGTGCGTCTGTAGTCCTAGCTACTCAGGAGGCTGAGGTGGGAGTATTGCTTCAGCTTGGGAGGTGGAGGTTGCAGTGAGCCGAGATTGTGCTATTGCACTCCAGCCTGGGTGACAGAGAGAGACTATCTCGAAACAAACAAACAAACAAACAGAAAACAAAAACAGCTCACAGCAACCTTTTCTTTATGTGTGCTTACCACTTGTAATATGCAGCTCTCACTTATTATCATGAACTGCCTTCTGGCACCTCTTATATTATTGCCCTGTTAGGGTATTTGTTTTTATATTTTATAATTATTTAGCAGTTTTTCTTATTAATTGTGTTGTTTGATTCTTGAAGGCAAGAACCTTACCTTAAACTGTGTTATCTAGATTACCATCATATAATTAGTTAATGACTATTTGGTGGTTGGTTGATTTCAGGCGTATTTGGAAGTTTAAGTTCAGCACCAGCAACCTGCAGCCAATCAGTGATATCTTCTGTGGAAAATGGGGATACATTTTCAATTAAACAAAGTATTGAACCACCATCAGGGATTTATGGAAGATCAGTCCAGCAAAATATTTCATCATATCTTGATGTTGAGAATGAAAAAGATGTAAGGTTATTTGCTAATTATTAGAATAAATTTAAGCTTACAGTATGTCATTGTTTTGTGTATATCAGATGTGGGGTGGTGAAAGTATTTCGATTAAAATTTTAAAAACCTTAGTACAGTTGAAATTTTGAGCCTTGGCAATGTGGCAAAACCCTGTCTCCAGGAAAAATACAAAAATTGGCCAGAAAAAATACAAAAATTAGAGAAAATAGAGAGCCTATTTTCTCTAGAAAAAATACAAAAATGTAGCCACAGCCATGCGTTCCTGTGGGCCCAGCTACTTGGGAGGCTAAGGTAGGAGGATCACTGGAGCTCAGACGGTCAAGGTTGCAGTGAGTCACGGTTGCGCCACTGTACTCCAGCCTGGGCAACATGTCATTAATTTTCCCTTGAGACAGTTTCACTGTCTCAAGGGGAAAAAAAAAAAAGAAAGAAATTTTGATCCTTAATCATTTAAATAATAGATTATTCACCCTTCCCACTTAATAAAGGCATTCTCATTCTGGGGATAAAGTATGTAATATACTTTTTATTCTCTGTGTATTTTATATTTTACATGTACTATATATACATATATATGTATGTATATATTCCGTTTTCTAGGATACACTTAAGTAGTGAAAGACTAATATCCTCAGAGACAAATTAGTTATCTGAGACAAAGATATTTTAAATATCAAACTGCCTGAATATTTTCAGATTTTCAACTTTTTCATGCAGGCTAAAGTTTCTATTTCAAAATCTACTTATAACAAGATGAGACAAAAGAGAAAAGACGAGAAAGAACTGTTTCACAATAAAGATTGTGAAAAGAAGGAAAAAAATTCCTGGGAACGAATGAAACATACGGGAACGGAGAAAATGGCATCTGAAGGTAAGTGGAATTTAAGTTTTGGTATTTTTTTTTTCTAGTAATAGTCTAAAGCTGATGAAATGAGGTTTCACTGGGGGTAATATATGACTAAGAATGAAATATCTTATATAACACTGAAATTTGCAAGACCCATAGTTTCTGTTTTTATTATATATAACTATTAAAATAATTTGCTTTCTCATAAAAAGAAAAATGATTGTGTTTCTCCCTTCTAGATTTAGATATTTTTGGAGATGAGGTGGGGCTATCAAAAAATAAGAGTTCTTTTTAAGAAAACATTGCCTTCAGCCCGCCATTGAAAGGGTCCTGTTTAAAATGATCACTATCTTTAGTGTTTTCAGATTCAGATAGGTCACTTATTTAGATGTAAAGAATAAAGTCACAAATGCTTGTTAAGCTGAAGAGACCACATGTGGTCCAGTGCATTTGTGCCTTTCTGTACTGAACTGGGAGCCAATAGACAGACCTGGCTTCTTAAGTTTCAGTTGTGCCTTTAATTAACTTTGTGACCAGGAAGCCGGCCTCAGTTTTCTGCCCCTGTGAATATCTTAATTATCTCAAAGGTCCAGATTATCTCAAGGATCTCTTCTATACTCCCTGGAAATATTCCTGTTTTGCTGAGGAGTGGTATACCATTTTATAGCAGATAACTGAGATGGTGAAACTGGTTTATATTACATCATGATCCCAAAAGGTCATTGCATTTGTCATTTATTCAGTCTATTCTTGAGTACCTACAATGTTTTGTGCTCAGTCAAGAATAGGCTCTATGTTTCCTGGTGTTGTTTTTTAAAATATTGAATATATGCTAGGTATAGTAGCAATGAGGAAAAATCAGATGTTGAAATAAAAAATCATGTGAACTATAATACACATTAACTATTATTGCTTAATTACTGTTTTGTTTAATATTATTAAGAAATAAACTGTGAAATGTAATAAACACTCTTAAATTTATGTTGCATCTGAAGTCTAGATAGCAACAAAATGCTCAAGAAGGTTACAAAAAATACTCTAAATTTAATAGACAGTATACTTCTCTTGAAGGTAAAAATAAAAAAAGATTTAACCTAAATTAATATCTGAGGTTTTTTCCTAGCTTTTATTTCCATTATAATACAAGTGGAGAAAACTGTATTTTCAAAGCTATTAATTGTTGAAAGTATGCCTGATGAGAGGTGTTAGCCTGTAACATTGTGGCTAAAGATGTCCCTAAAACCCATTAAATGTAGGTGTTTGTGAAACTTAAGCCTCTTAGCATTCTCACATAATTCACTATTTGTTATTGTCACAAAATTCAGGGAGAGAAAAACCCACGAAACTTCCTACCTAACTTAGCCAGTGTGAAGAGTAGAAATAGAAGTACAAATATTACAAATAGTAATAAATCATAAATTTGGGGGTATTCATTCTTGATGGATCAACTAATTTTGTGATTTTTGCCTATAATGTAGGCTTTAAAGATTGGGTTTCTGAGAAGTATAAGGAGAGTACCACTTTGAAGTCATCCTTATATTTGAAAATAAGAATATGCTTACACAATTATTATGTTGATCAGCTCAAAGTATAGCTGTTTAGCTCTATGGTTATGAACATATTGGCAGAAATAATTTTTAATAGCTAAATTCTAATTGGATATGTCTCCAGTTAAGAAACTTTCTATCAGTTCACTGCTTCTCAAAGTGTGTTTCACAGACTGTGTGAACTGTTTGTTACTCATCTATGATGAGTAACATACATACAGACAATATTTAGCTTCTAGAAACTATTTTAACAATTTGACAGTGCCACAACACTTTTATTGTACTTTATAAAAGAATCAATCTGCAACACAGTGAAAGTTTTTGTTTTGTTTTGTTTTGCTTTTTTTGAGATGGAGTCTTTTCTGTCGCCCAGGCTGGAGTGCAGCGGTGCAGTCTTGGCTCACTGCAACCTCTACCTCTCGGGTTCAAGCGATTCTTCTGCCTCAGCCTTCCGAGTAGCTGGGACGACAGGTGTGCACCACCATGCCAGGCTAATTTTTGTATTTTTAGTAGAGACGGGGTTTCACTATGTTGGACAGGCTAGTCTAGCTCCTGATCTCGTTATCCGCTCACCTCAGCCTCCCAAAGTGCTGGGATTACATGTGTGAACCACTGCACCCGGCCAACAATGGAAGTTTTTTTTTTTAAAAAAACTTCATTTGAGCATCACTACTTTCAATTGATATTCTATACACCTCCTTTTTCAAGATAACATTCTTCAGGTGAAAACAAAATAAAGATAGGTGATAGTACTTCATATTGTTATAATCTGAAGGTTGAAAATTTGGTGTTTATCTGTATATTTTTCTAATGAGTTATTGTTTCATGAGAGTGGGAATGGATTAGATATATTAAGGGAATTCTTAAAACTTCCATGTTCGTTTCTTCATCTGTAATGTCTGAATAATAATTATTATATAGGGTTGTTGAATGAATTAAATTAGATAGTGTAAATGAAGGGCATAGCACAATACCAGGGAAGATAATAAATGATAATAGTGCTATTTTTTTATTTGCTATTCTTTCAGGATTGGGATATTCCAAAGCTGGAGGATTTTATTTATACATGTTAGTCTTAGATATGAAACCTAAAGAGGGTCCATCTGAACCATCAAAAAAAAAAAAGTGAAAGGGGTCTATTATATAATTGGGATATCATCTTCCTCACATAACAAAAACTGGTACTGATTCATCGCTATAGTAATTTAAGGCATCATATTTTACCTTTTTACTTTTTGTATTAGATATGTGATAAAGTTTTTGAAAGCAGAGATTCTGTCTTATACCTCTTTATAGAAGATCACAGGTAATGGTGGCCGTAGATCTAAGTCCTGCCTCTCCCACTCATTAGCAATGGAACCTTAAGTAAATTTCTTAGTCTCTGTAAAACGCAATTATTTTCTCAGCTGCAAATAAAGATAGTTAGAATGCCTACCTCAACTTTGTTGAGATAATTAAATGCAGTAAAGTTTGCAAAGCATTTATCCCAAGGTCTGGTGCATAGTATTTAATAAATGTCAGCTAATATCATTAACACCTTGTTGCCTTTGGATTTTAAATGACCAACTCTGAATATGTAATTAGTATGCAACATCAAGTGAAATTTCTTATATTTGTGATTTCAGGTAACGTTTTGTCACAGATAGCATGGTTAATAAATAATTTTTGATGATAGTTATTTTCTAGTGACTAATATTTCCTTTCTAAAAGTATCTCTTAATATGGAAAAAGAGCCAGTAAATCTTTACCTACTTATAAAAGCCCATTCTATTTGACCCTTTTCTTTTTAATATCTCCACTGCATGTGTCTCGCATTATACAGTGCTCTCAAGGATATTATCCTGAGCACTCAAAGAGGATGATTTATTTTCTCAACTTATAGTACAGTGCCTTACATCTGGAAAATGCTTGGTCAATGTCTTATTACAGAAGAAACATCATTCTTATTACTACACATGGTCTTAGAATTTGTAATAGGCCACTAATTCTATATCAATAGAGAAAATCAACTAAAATTCTACATATAGATGCCATGAACCTTCATCTTCACTTCTCAGTTATGAAACAGGTATATATCCACATTTTTACAAAATGGGATCATACCGCTTCTTTGACTTTTAGCTGTTAAAATAAAGCCAGACTTTGTTATGACTCATGACTGAAAAACTACTTATATTTTTATTAAATACAATTTGTTAATAATTTTGCATATAAAAAGTAAAGTTTTCAATAGTTTTGGTTTCTGGGTACTGTAATTTTCCTCAAGACTAAACTAATAGTACTAAGTTTCCATAATAAATGTTCATCACAGCTGTAGTCAGAATAATGTTTGTATCCTTTGTATGAAGGTCTTCTTGGCCGGGCATGGTGGCTCACGCCTGTAATCCCAACACTTTGGTAGGCTGAGGCGGATGGACTGCTTGAGGTCAGGAGTTCAAGATCAGCTTGACCAACATGGTGAAACCCTGTCTCTACTAAAAATACAAAAATTAGCCGGGTATAGTGGTGCGCGCCTGTAGTCCCAGCTACTTGGGAGGCTGAGGCAGGAGAATCGCTTGAACCAGGTGACAGAGGTTGCAGTGAGCTGAGATTGCACTACTGCACCCTAGCCTGGGCAACAGAGCGACACTCCATCTCAAAACGATAAACATTTGTAAAAAAAAGGTTCTCTCATAGTTTAACATATTTTGTTTTAGATGAAACATCTACTGGAGTCATTTCACAGTATAAAGAAAGGATGCCTTCTGTCACTCATAGTCCAGAAATAATGGATCTATCAGAACTACGACCATTCTCTAAACCAGAAATAGCACTGACAGAAGCCCTGAGGCTTTTGGCTGATGAGGATTGGTAAGTTCACCATCCTTAACTTAAAACTAAGCAGAGTTCTAAAGCTTTCTGTAAATATTTAATTAAAAATCTTGAAACACATTTTCTATTAAAATAACCTTAGAAACGATTTTTTAGTTCTTAGGCATCAGAGTATTTTCAGCTTATTAATGTAGCTGAACTCTGGTCCTAATAGTACTTTATTACCAGTTGTGTTATAACTTACATGCCATAAGAATATAATTTAGCTTTATTATGGATTATGTAAACCCTTTGATAACGGGATACAAATTTCACCGTTTCTCAAAGTATGTCTCTGTGAAATATAATTTTTAATTGTCCTGGAAATACCTACCTGCTCTTATTGCAGTAATAGCAGCCACCCAACCAGCCCAGCCAATAACTCAAGGGAGACAAAAGACAGTGGCAATGTGCATCCCATGTGTTTCAGCAGGAGCGTCCACTTACTGCCTTTGTCTCATTTCCTCCCTTGTTCCTTCAATATCTCTCATTGTCCCCATCTTATACCTCTTCATCAGTTTTGCCTCTGTTCTAGAGCATAGTCATCAAGTTTCAAATGTGCCATAATATCTCCTATTTTTTAAAAACCTCCAGGCCGGGCACGGTGGCTCATGTCTGTAATCCCAGCACTTTGGGAGGCCGAGGTGGGCGGATCACGAGGTCACGAGTTCAAGACCAGCCTGGCCAACATAGTGAAACCCCATCTCTACTAAAAATAGAAAAAAATTAGCCAGGCATGGTAGCGGTGCCTGTAGTCCCACCTACTTGGGAGACTAAGGCAGGAGAATTGCTTGAACCCAGGAGGTGGAGGTTGCAGTGAGCCGAGACTGGGCAGCTGTACTCCAGCCTGGGCAACACAGTGAAACTCTGTCTCAAAAAAAAAAAAAAAAGATAGAAGTTCTGCAGAATTTAATCCACTGGCATTCTCTTTGTACATTGGTTTCGTAGCTCAAGGGCAGTCTTTTTCTGGCGATCTTTTTCTGTAAAGATCCAGGTAATAGGTATTTTAGACTTTGCAGGGCAGATGCCTCTGTTGCAGAAACTGAACTCTGTTGTGCAAAAGCAGCCTTAAAACAGTATCTAAACAAATGGGCATAGCTGTGTTTCTATAAAACTTTACTTATAAAACATATGAAAACTTTACTCATTAAAAAAATCTGATGGAGCCAGATTTGGCCCATGAGCCATAGTTTGCCAATCCCTTCTTAAATTATTTCATTCAGTCCCACAGCTTTAAATTCCATCTAAACTCTGATATTTCATAAATGTGTATCTGTATCCCTGGTATCATTTTGAGCTCTAGACTCAAAAAGAAGTAATCCAACAGCCAACTTGGCCCTTTCACTTAGATGCCAGTAGACATCTTAAATTTAACATATCCAGAAAAGAAATCCTGAACTTCTTCCTGCCAACATGGATTAACAGGACTGTATTTGCCTTCATACATGAAAGATCTAATAAAATTATACAAAATATATGAAACAATAGTTTTCAAGGGCCGGGCACAGTGGCTCATGCCTATAATCTCAGCACTTTGGGAGGCCAAATCACTTGAGGTCAGGAGTTCAAGCCCAGCCTGGCCAACCCTGTCTCTACTGAAAAACACAAAAAATCAACTGGGGTATGGTGGTGCACGTCTGTAGTACCAGCCACTTGGGAGGCTGAGACACAAGAATCGCTTGAACCTGGGAGGCAGAGGTTGCAGTGAGCCGAGATCATGTCACTGCACTCCAGTATGGACGACAGAGTGAGACTCCATCTCAAAAACAAAGAAACAGCAACAACAAAAAGCAATAGTTTTCAAGATACTCTTCACCAGGCTATGGAAACATCTCTGAGAGACAGGAAACAAACCAGGTGGCCGGGTGCGGTGGCTCAAGCCTGTAATCCCAGCACTTTGGGAGGCCGAGACGGGCGGATCATGAGGTCAGGAGATCGAGACCATCCTGGCTAACACGGTGAAACCCCGTCTCTACTAA